TTTTTTATTTTACTTACATAATATAATCACGTTTTAACATGTTTTAATAAATACCCATAGTAAAAAATAATACTTTGAAAGTCAAAGTTCCAGGTTTTCAGTATTCTTCTACCTTCCTTTATGTTAAAAAAGAAAGAAACTCAAAAAAGTTTGGAACAAGTGAAGGGTAAGTACATTTCATTGTTGGGTGAACTTTCCCTATTTATTCTACAGGGTATTATTTTATTGTATAGGTAAAAGATGAGCACTGATAAATGGTCACTAAACTAGAGATTCTTGTTATACTAAACACTGCACCTCCTTGTGTACCGAAACATCCAGTTAGCAAAGTGAGGCAACTCCAGAAAGGGAGGAGGTAAAAAAGAAAAGAGACATGAAATAGGTGTCTTCTGCTGTGTAACAGACAAGGTGGGACAAAAACAGATGTCATCACTCCTCACCACTGGAGTTTCCTAAAGCAAAATTGCTGCTAACAAACCTAAAACTACAACTAAACTTACAGCAGTAGGAAAACATTAGTTAAGAAAGTATCTAAAAACAGTGCTTATTTTCAGTTTAAAAAGATGGAGCATTAGAGCCAAACCTAGGGCTGGGCGATTTGGCCTAAAATCAAAATCTTGATTAATTGAACATTTTTAACTCGATTACAATTAATCAACGTTTTATTTATTTATTTTATGTTTTTTGCCCTCTCCGTGCCACCTACACTCGTCAACCCTACCAGGCTGAACAATCACTGAGCTTTTGCTATGCATTGTCGAAACGTGTAGTTACATTTTTTGAGGGGTCAGTGTCGGTTAATTGCCCAGCCCAAGCCCAACCTATTGTGTAAGTTTAAGTAACTAAGCCATGGCATCACGCATCCTGTAAAGTGAGGTCAAAACATTTTGATCACCTCCTTGTTGCTATATTGATACAGGTCCTAAACACTCACTGCTTCATATAAACATGAGCCAAGTGGGACATGAGTAAAGCAAAAAATAATAATTAAATAAGATACTACTTCAAATATTTTCAATATTTTTGCTTAAATATTATTTCAATAACTTTAGGTAGTTTGCAACATGTTCATCTGCTTGTGTGTGTGTGTGTGTATATAAATATATATATAGTTTAGTTTTTACAAAAAAATGGGTGTGGTGTAACTGTGTGCTTGATTTAGTAAGTTACAATTCAAAAAGATGACAGTAGCCAGCGTGGGAGATTTTTGTTACACTTCTCAACAGCGGAAGGAAGTGAAGACGCGTGTCCATCTTTTTTAACAGTCTATGGCTACACACCAGCACTAGATAACCAAAGACGAGTTCCGCCTCAAGATACTTTCCCAAACCCTTAACCCTCTCCCCTCCTACTACTTACTATCACTACTCTGTTTTCAGCTAATTCACAACAAAACAGCTTAAATTTTGGACAATGGCTGATAATCAGAACAAGAATATTCATATATATATATACATATATATATATATATATATATATATAAATTCATTAATTTTCTTTTCAACTTAGTCCCATTATTAATTTGGCATCTGGCATCACCACAGCAGAATGAACCGCCAACTTATCCAGCATACACTCTTTACGCAGCAGATGCCCTTCCACCCACAGCCCAGCCAAACATCCATACACAGTCATTCACACACACACTCATACAATACGATCAATTTTAGCATACCCAATTCACCTGTACCACATGTCTTTGGACTTGTGGGGGAAACCGGAGCAAACTCCACACAGAAATGCCAACTGACCCAGCCGAGGCTCAAAGCAGTGACCTTCTTGCTGTGAGGCCACCACATCGCCTATGTATATAAATTAATAGATATATATTATAGACCAGAGAAACAACAATATAATAGAATGTTTCACATTAGAATCAAAAATGCAAGATGTCAAAACATTTTCAGTTAGTTAAACTTGAAACTAGCTCACTTGTTGCCTTTAGAATTTGGGTAAACTCAATCAAATGCACGTAAACTCAACCTGAAGATGACATTTGTTTTAGCTCACAAATAATCAAGACAGTACACCACTATAGGCTTCTTTTATTAGTTAAAAATCCTAAAATTGGCATTAATAAGTGCAAATAAGTTCAAATAAATGAATGGGGCTCTCGTGTTTTAGAGGATATTCTTCGCCTAACGCAACAATGAAAACACACATTAAAACACTTGGCAAAACAGCACTGTGGTCACCGCACAGTAAGGATCTCTTTCACACAAGAATATTTAGAAATTATTATGTGCATAATTTCTTTGATGTGATAATTTTTAGTGAATGACATGATGTGGGACAACAATTGAAAAAGGACACTGGATCTTTGAAGATTTTTCTTTCCTTAAATGCCTATTTAGCTCTGCCCATGTCCTTTAGGCGATGATAATAAGTTAATAGTAATAATAGTAAAAAGCTATTCAAAATGGTAAATTTGACCAGCATTCATTTCTCTGTGGTGCTTTCTGGAATCATCTGCATGTCAGAGAGGCCCTGTTTAGAATTAAGATGCCTATGGTGATTCACTCACAAGTAGTCAACAGAAAAAATGCCCTTCGAGTTGGCAATATCACACAAATAAACAAAGAAAGTTGCATCTTCACACCAGATGGAAACAGGAAACAATGGTTTTGCTTTGATTGTTTTTATTATATTTTTCCTTCTTCCTAATATCTGACCTGAGAGTCATGGCACGACTTTATGCTTAATTTAATTCAAAGTCAACAACATATTCTTTTTGCAAACTTTCTAAAGGGTGAAAATGATTTCTGAGAGCTTGCCAAGTGAGTGAACTTCAGCCTTGCAAAACAAACTTAATTTTACAGTCAACGCTTCAGTACAAACAGCAATAATTATCTGTGTAGCACTGAATCCTGCTCAAAGCCAGTTTATAGTTTAGCATGTGTTTTATAAAAATAACTAAGACAGACAGAGAGAGAGAGAGAGTATATGTCTGTACAAAACTGCAGACTTTAAGGCTAAAAAAACATAGGACTGTGAAGAGTATAAAACATATTGCTAAGCTACTAGAAAGCCCAACAAAAAAGCTAAATTTGTTCTGAAACTACATCCAGGGAAAGCATTGATTAGCAGTGCTTGATAAACAGACCTGCTGTGAGTTCAAAGGACAGTAATCAATTCTATATGCTTTTGTTGAACCTATATATATCACATTGCTTCAACCTATTTTTAAACCAGCAGGGATGCTGGAAATACCACCAATCAGATTCACAGTGTTTATTTATATTTTGTAATACAAATAATATAATAATGTGATTCACCATTTCTAGCAGGTTTGTATGTTTTGAGGCCTATCAACACATCTCACAAAGACATTTTGAATCCCAATGAAAATTTGGGGGGAAATGAGAACCAGTACTGTTTAAAAAGTGAGATGGCAAACTTTTTTCTTTTTTTTTTTACTTTAGAATGTTAATGTAGACAATTCTCTAATTTAGGCTACTCTGATATTATCTGTCATGTGCGAACATAAATCTACAACACCTTTCAAATTGAAATGAGAAAGTCTAGGTTTAGCAAGCAGTGTGAAGTATGATATTAGAGAAAACCCTGACCTTTTTTGACTTCAGATATTCTGCCAGATGACATAATCAAGGATAAAAATATCTCTAAAGCAGTATAAGGAAACAAAATCAATAGAATCAATCGACTTCCTGCTCTACACAAAGACATTTATTCTATATACTACCAGAGCATTTGAACTAATAAAGTTTAAAATGACTAGTGACATTGTAACTGATTTGTAAAGTACCATAACACTCCCATAGAAAACACTATAAGACTTAGATACTCAAAAACAGAGCACAAACGTTTTCATTTAGCAGTATATGTCACAGTCAGTGCAATTAAAACTCTACCTGCCGGTCAATCAGTGTAGCACATAGAAATGGACTTCAATTTATCCAGGTTCATGAACAGAAATAAAAGCTTCATTAATATATATACACAGCTCAAGCTATTCCAAAATGATACAATATGGCATCTATTCAAACTAAAGTTTAAATTAATCATTCAACTGTTGCAACAACTATTTTTGCCAAATGTTACTGCAAAATTTACAATCAAGTGTTATGCCCTCACAGACTTAACAAACCAGGAAGTTGTGGAAGCTTGATTCTGGAATGCTCTTTTTATCTCCTTTGTATTAGTATGTCCCTTCAAAACTTGTCATAAACCTGCCTGTATAGTTTTCCTGTTTTCCTGAATAGTGTTATCAATAGTTCAGGAGCCCAATTGCTAAAAAAAAGACATATACAGACATGACATGACCGCATATATTTCTCACAGAGCAGCAGTCAATTCCTCAAACGCAAACATGTGACTGGCAACTATAAGAAATAAGCACAAGCGACATCAATATCACATATGAAAATCCACTTCTTAAACCCTGGCACAAAGAGAAAAGTTGTAACATGACTTGCTTAAACTTTATTCAACTATTTAAGTCACTAACTACAATTGCCTATATGCCTATTTTAACTACATATTGCTATTTAGACAATTACATTTATCAGGATTTGTAATTCTTTTATTATTATCTTTGTTTGCATCACCAAACACAAAAAGTCCTAAAGCCTCTACTTCGCTCAGAATGATATAAAAAAGTGCAACCCATGCTCACTGATAATAAGATAAAAAAATCATGACCCAAAATATCATGTGATGATGACAAAATTATACCCAAGCAACTATTTCTGGATGATAATATAGTCATAGCCGCTGAGTCGGTAAACTAATGACACAACCATAATTTATGAATAATAGCGTTAATATAATAAGCTATAATATTAAGGATAATAAGCTTTTTGAGAATAATAATAATCACAGATGGCTGCCAAGCAAATGTTGACTAAACCCTGCTGACCTATTATACAATTGGAATCGTTACTACAAGACAGCGGCTGTTAAGAACTTTGTATATAAATATGAAACATTTATTTAGTGATTACATGCAGGCTCTTATAGTATATCTGATATGTTCTTACCTGTGTTTTTCCAGCTCATTGTGTGATGACCTTAAAAGAAAGTAAACAGATTTAATTTTAGCGGTAAAAATAGATAAAATATATGTAAGTATATATACTTTAAAAAGTGCACTGACTCTATAAATTATATATATATATATATATATATATATATAATACTAATGAAATGGTGATAAAGTGAACCGATCTGGCATAATAGTGATCTTCCTAAGTACTGCAAAACTGCTGCATTTGCTTTTAGCATTACATATGCAATCTTGTTATTAAACTAGGCGTTATACACAGTTAATATACAAAAGCATCCTTATTGTCATGCAAAATATAAATAATCTAAAAAAAAAAAAGATCACTACACAAATACAATAGGACTGTAATAAATGCATAAAAGAACGAAAGAATGATTTTGATGCTCCCTGGCCCCTACTCACATACACGCACACACTACATTCTATCTAGATTTAAGCTAAATCATTCCCCATATCTTTACTGTGTCTATTAAGCCAATATCACAGTAAGTAAAGCTCTATCAGCATGCATCCAATGACGCAGAGGAAATTCAGCACGCTACAACGCATTGCTATTTTAGTCCAGAGTATGAATGCTAGGGTGTATGATCGGGCAATTACATTTTCTCCAAACAAACAAACCAACAAAGACATTGAGGGATTGCAGTGAAAGCAAGATAAAAGCAAAATATGTAGGTCATAGCATCAGTTGATAATTGTGTCAAAACTGCAGTGTACAGTTTCGGCTCCATCAAGGCCATAATATGGATTTTTCCCCCACATTTTCCTTATATGCTTTTTTGAGTATTAAATAAATGCAAATGACATGCATGTGATAGCAAAGCAAGACAAAGTTGTAAGTCAAAATGTCATTTGTGATAACAGTGCGACTAAAGCTCAATTTTAGCATCTGCAGCTAGTGTAGAAAATATGTTGCTGCTTGGAATAAAAGCTTTGAAATTAAAGTACACGTCTGCAATGCCAGATGTTTTATTTGTTTGTTTATTTGTTAGCTTCAATATGGGAATTTGGGTTTAATAAGAAGCACGTTATTGAGTGTATGTTTTTATTTTATTAAAACAAATTTAAGTCATGAATTTCTTAGACAGCCCTAGATCCGTAGATTTCCCCTTTTTTTCAGTGCTTTCTATGCATATTGTGGGGGAAGGGCTGCACACTGGGCTCCTGCTGTTTTGCTTTGACATTGCAAGGAAAAGGGGGCTAATGCAGCAAAACAGATCCAGGGGTCAAAGCTCTGTAGCAGCTGACTTGGGTCTGCTCACACCACACCCAGCAGTGAGAGTTTAACCACACCTAAACTAACCACACTACTATAAGCATACTGTCTATGACATAAGCATGTGACACAATTTTGAGTTCAGATGTAATGATTGGTCAAAACATTGTTGCAACTCATTGTTTGTTTTTTGATGTGTAAAAAAACATCACTGACACATATTTGAAAATATTCATGCTTACATAACACAATGTAAAGTACAGTAAATAGCTATACGCTTCTAGTTACTTCATGCACGTACGATAACTAATTTGTGCAGTCGTCCTCGGTCACCAAAAAGTTTGTGCTAAATTAAACGACCGGTGTTACAACAAGACAAATGATTGAGTTGAAGACAAATGATTGAGTTGAAGGCAAATGTCAGCAGTGGAAAAGGGAAAGCAGCAGCGGCCGAAAGTTGACGCTGTACGCGTGGCAATGTTTATACACAGCCAAGCCCAACAACAAAAATGGCGAATACATGTAACGTTAGAATACACTGTTGTAATATGTCCATCCATTATAATAGCAATGTCACTGCATTGTATTTACCTGTTGTTGTGGGGTTTTCTTGAAATGGGTGATTTAGTTTTCTTTCTGGAAAAGTCACTATCGTACGGCAAAACAGATGCGTAACCGTGTTCAGCTTCTAGTGAGAAAGTCAACGTAAATAGCATTGAATACAGACGTATGGGCTTTAATGAACAAAAATCAGAGTTATAAAGTTGGACAATTTATATATTTTATGGCAACCCGCTTCACAGTTGACGAATCATGATTTCAACTTAACTTACTGTAAAGCAAACACCCCCACCCCCTGGTTACATTTGACCTAATATTGAAAACGAAACAACATTTTAACAGTGCTAGAAATAATGACATGCTGGTAAGTCAAATCTTTCCAATTATTTAACAGACTTAGAATCCCACGACAACGAGATCATATCTTCCCTCAGGGCTTCAATGAAGATACACTTGATCTACAGACAGGTTTATAAGTGTCAGTCGACCGGTAAATCAACGAAATATCACAAAGAATAGTTTTAGTTCAGCAGATATAATCATGATACCTCTGTCTCTTCTTTCCAAATACTCTGCTGCCTCAAGAAGTAGGAGAAGAGAATTAAGTTCCATCCTGGTGTATTTGCAGAAATAAAATTACACACAACAAAAACGAATGCACACTTTAACAAAAGGTATAAATCAAAGAGAGAAACAAAATAAAAACAAACAAACAAATAAACAAAAAAGTGATGACGCTCGATATGAACGGTTCAATTCTGAGTCGTACAGACTCTCAACAAAAATTAATGCAGACTGCACGTAAACTAAAATCTGGTAATTGATTGATGGTTTCTGTGTCCAATAAGACGACAGAAAAGTATGAAAGGCGGGCCTTAAAAACATTTGTATCCAATCAACGACTTCAAAGAGAGAAATTCACAGGAAAGATGTTGACACATTGCGAAATGTCATATGATTGGCTAGTCAGTGATAGTAACAATGTTGAAGCCATGCCCTAGCAACAGTACGTGCGACCCAACCCCCATATCGCTCATTGGTCTGACGTATCATCCACGTACCCATGATTGGCTGAAAGAAACACAGGGCGTGTTTTCATATAACCCCGTTTAGTAAACTTATGCTGGCAGTGGCAAAGTTGTCTCTGGAAGAACTCAGCGGATAGAAAATGTTTTTCAAAGTCAAGTTTCTGATCGTTCACTAAGGTACATTCACATTAAAATACGAGCGCAAATCACTGATTCGAGTTATAAAAGTAAGGTCATACTGGACACATATTTATTATTAAATGAAACCGTCAAAGTTTGCTTATACTTACATAATTACGTGTAGGGCGCGGTCGGCTCTCGGGTCATCTTTATGTAAGTTACTACAAGTGGCTACTTTCCAAAGCAAGACTTCTTTTCTGATCCTGTAGCTATAGATTGCTGTGTGTGTATTTATTATGTATTATTTAAAAGGTAACAAACTAGTAATTTATTATTGATTTGCCAAAAAAAGTATAGAATAGATAAAAGTATTTGCATGGCAGTAAATAAATATTTCTTATTTTTTTATTTTTCTCTGAAGAACTTGCTAAAAAAATGTTTCAGTGTGTGTTTGTTTGTGCAGTTTACTCAAATATCATTTGTGATTACATACTCACACTCTAGTTGTGATTACAAGGACATTTGCAAAAAAAATCTATAAAAATAAATAATAGTTTACACATATTAATAGTATTTATACATATATCAAGCGGGTAAAACGTGTATTGGACATGTCATGATTTTTCCTGGTAGATATATAGGCTTATAGGTGCTGTTGACATAAAATGGCCCAGATGTTGATAAAACACAAACAAATAAATAAACCAAGAGAAAAGAAAAAAATATTATGTGTAATAACAATGTAGTGGCACAAGAAGAAGACATTGAACTACTGAAATATATTTAGTGACAGCTTTGAGGCTATATAAAGTCTATTTCTATAAAGTCTGATCTTTAGTTCTTATTTTCAACTGGATTCAGGTCAGGTAATTGGCTGAGCCATTCTAGCAGCTTTATTTTCATTTGTGAAACCAGCTGAGAGCTTCCTTGGCGTTGTTTTGGGTCTTGGTGAAATCTCCACCCTGGTTTCACCTTTGTCATCCTAATAAGGTGTTGGGTCTGAAGCAGCTAATATTCATTTACTGGGAGATTTCAGCTGCTGTCTGGTCTTTCAGTGCCTATTTACAACTCCCTTTCTTCAAGTGTTCAAAACATTTTCCCTTTGACATTTCATTATGCATTCCATTTTATTACACACAACTTAATTTCTAAACAAATAAGTTTTTCTTTCTATGTATGGATTACTTAAGTTGTTAATGACATCTGGTGAAAATGTTGAGAAACGGCACCTTTTGGAAATATGTTTTCTGAGAAAAATGGTGCCGTGTTCAATACTTTTTTACTCGCTATATAATAAAGTTTTGAGATTACTCATGGTTAAACATAATAAGCAATCTCTTCAGGGGAGAATGAGTGTAAACATTGAGCTGAGGGGGTAATGGCATAAATCGGTGAAAATGGGGAGTAAACACATAATTTTTTGTCTGGAAATGAGAAAGAAGTACGAAAGCCAGAGAAAAATGAGACAAAAAGCAGAAATTGCTGACCTCCGCTTACTCTGTGGACAAAAAAAAAAAAAAAAAACACAGCTGTTTCTAATTGGTAACTCGGCACCGACTGCTGACCTACATTCTGCTGGAGATTCTGAACTCAGCAGAGGAGAGAAAATGGGAAAAGGAGACAACTGAGGTGAAGAACCATAAGGATTGATTTGTGGAGGAGTTAAATAGGAAGTTACAGAAAAACAATATTTATGTGTAAATGAATAAACTTAACCAGTGTCTACAATAATTTCTACAGTAGTGTATTCATTTTGTTTGTTTGCTCGTCACCAGTTGTTTTTCATTGTGTGATTTAAAATGAATTGTGTGAATCTTTTACTAAAACAGCTTTTTTACAGATTTACCATGTGTTTGTATTTAGAAAGTGGATATTATTTGATAAAATAAGATATCACAGGGTGACGCAGTGGCGCAGTGGGTAGCACTCTCGCCTCACAGCAAGAAGGTCGCTGGTTCGACCCTCAGCTGGGTCAGTTGGCATTTCTATGTGGAGTTTGCATGTTTTGCCTGCGTTCGCATGGGTTTCCTCCGGGTGATCCAGTTTCCCCCAGTCCAAAGACATGTGGTATAGGTGAATTGGGTAAGCTAAATTGTCCCTAGTGTATGTGTGTGAATGAGAGTGTATGGGTGTTTCCCAGTGATGGGTTGCCGCTGGAAGGGCATCTGCTGTGTTAAACATATGCTGGATAAGTTGGCGGTTCATTCCACTGTGATGCCCCTAGATGAATAATGGGACTAACCAGAAAATAAAATGAATGAATGAATGAAGATATGACTGACGTTAGATATTCACTTTGCATGTTACTCAGTGATGCTCAACAGACCAAAGTTTTCTTTTACAGTTACCTAGTCAACTCATATTCGTTTAAAAACATTTACTTCACACAACGCTGCATGATGCCTAAATGCCCATATGGTTAATCCAGCCCTGCATTTTTCATCTGTTATGTAAACACAGTCTATTCTAGTGCATTCTTAGCACACAATTCAATCAAATTGCCATTTTACTGATACAAATCTACTAAAAATGTGTGAGGGATAATTTGAAATTTGAGGGTTATTCATCTAAAATGGTTGTGTTGACGAAAAATAAATTTTACAAGATTTGTATTTCACAATAGAAAGAATTGCAATGACAGCAAGGTAATTAAATCATGGAGAACTCTCCTTTTACACTTTAAAAAGGTGGTTCTTACATAATCATATATTTTAAATAAATGCAACATAAAACCTATTTGATGATGGTGATATTTTGCAACTTAATCACCCCAAGTGTAAATCAAAGAATGAATACTGGTGCTATATAGCACTTAAACTGGTTTCCCTATAATAAAAGCCCCAAAATCGCTTGTTGGTGCTAAATAGCACCTCGACTAACCCAAAAATGGTGAAGAACCCATTCTGTGTGTGTGTCTGCATGCCTGTGTGTACAAGTCATTCTTCTTATATGAAGAATAAACTGTATGAGGCACTGTGCTCTTGCAAACATCTTTGCAGGACACCCACTCATAAAAAGTGCAGCAGCACCATTGAACAATATCTATTCAGAGACTATTAATCTTACAATAGTCTGATAAAAAGGCATTTAAAAATACTTTGTGACTTTTTATGCAATCTTGAGATTTCAGAGAACTGTTTTTCACAAAGTTTGCAAAAGATAATGCTTCTTGCAAACTGCAAACTCAAAATGTTTTACAGGGTTTTTATCACAATTCATTATTTGGACTTCAAGTTAGCTTGCTCTATTCCATTTAGCTTTTAGACGTCATTGGTTTTATATCACAATGTTTCCACTAAGAATGTTAATGTTCAACAATGACATGAAAACACACGTGTAATTTTAAGATCATGGCACATATTATGACTCATTTTTGCAGGAACTAGGTCAGTTGAAAGAGTTCAAATGGTTCTTCCTGCAAGTGTATTATATTGCAAAGATGCACAGAAAGTTTAGGGCAGTTAATCTCATCCTTTTTGGCTGCATAGTGCAAGCCCCTCATTGTGCAAAACAATAAAAGGTCTCATGACCTGTCCACTTGTATGTTAATGTTGGCATTACGTCTTTTTTATCTCCTATTGGGATCTTTGGCTTTGCGATACTTGTTGGTCTCTTTTATCTGACAAACCATTAAACTCATGCAACTATTCTGCTAATGAGCTCATTGTCTAAATTAAAAAGTACAATCTGGTTTACATTTTGTCACCTTAGAATTATAAGGTGCTATCTGACATTTTTGTCAAAACTGAGTTATTGACATATTCTTATTAAATGACATCTTATTTACATTATGGGATGTTTTTATAAGTTGTTTACATTTTAAGACTTTTTATTTTTTTTTAAATGTTACACACATACTGTTTGCTATGGAATGCAAAAACTTTAAAGCTCAATATCTCAAAATCATTCAGAACACAGATAGAACCTTAAAATTCCAAGGTGATGATTTAGTTAAAGTACAAATGAAGACATTATACCATGCTCTAATTTTTATTTTGTCTTATTTATATATTTTTCAAGTCAGAGACTACCATAACACCCCCTTGAAGGCCAGCAAATAAGCCCCAAAATTATGACACTGAAGTACTTTTTTCTTTTTTTTAAATATTATTATTATTACCATAACAAATTGTAATATTATTAGCACAACTCCCCTTAGCATAGATCATTGAACAAAGATGCCAAAACAAACTAGGGCCTGTGGGCCAAAGTTGACCAATGATGACCTTTGATTTTTCCCACCATTCCATCTTAGAGGAGAAGGAGAATGATAGGGATAGATTCAAGATTGCCAGTTAAAATCTAATGATTACTTTAATTTGTTCATTGTTAAAAGCAAACTGATTTGCTTTTAATGGATGTTTCCATTAAATGGTGTAAAAAAAGTCAGGATTTGTTTAAATGTTCATATCCTGTGACCCTACAATGCAGAGAATTGGTGAGCAAAATCAAGTCAAAGACAGATTCTGCTTGACTAGTGTATTCAGCATTAAACGTCACTGTATTATAAAAGTGATTGTTTATGTTTTTATTGCAATAAGTTATTATTTAACTTATCGCATTAGATAGTATAATTTAAAGTATTGTTTTCTATTTATTTTGAAATATTATGAAATAAATTGGAAAATTACCCATGGCGGCTTTAACGGCTCTCAGTGATATTATTCGGTTTTTGGCTCTTCATACAAAAACGTTTGGGCACCCCTAGATTAGACTGGATTAGACTGGAAGAGTTTTGGGCGTCACAGTGGCGCAGTGGGTGGCACAATTGCCTCACAGCAAGAAGGTCTCTTGTTCAAGCCCCGGCTGGGTCAGTTGGCGTTTCTGTGTGGAGTTGCATGAACTCCACGCAGATTATAAATAGATATATTTATAAAAAATCTATATATTTACCCATATAGATTAAAAAGTGAATCAGGTAGAAATTCTTTTTTGTGTACGAGCTCTGCTGTTTGGAATGTTTTGCCCACGATTTTTAAAGAGATTCAAATTAAGAGTGTTTTTAGAAGGGAAATTTAAATGGTTGTTTTGCAGTTGAAAATTTTGTTGTGCCGAGTTGCTGAGCTGATAATGTTTGCACTCCATTCATGATTTGCTCCTTCATTTTTTAAGAATATCGAGGACCACAATGGAAATAAACCTGTGACTTTTTTGTGTATTTTATCCTCGACAGTTTTTTAAAATATGTATGAATAAGTCTAACTGGACTTGTTCGTATATTTTTGCTAAAATTGTCAAATAAAATCAATCAATCAATCTATCATGTTCTCCCTGTGTTAGCGTGGGTTTAATCTGCATGCTCCTGTTTCCCCTACAGTTCAAAGACATGCGCTAAAGGTGAATTGAATAAGCTAAATTAGCCGTAGTGCATATGTGTAAATGCATGAGTGTAGGTGTTTCCCAGTGTTGGGTTAAGGCTTGAAGGGCATCCACTGCATGAAAAATATGCTGGGTATTTGGCGGTTCATTCCCCTCTGGTGACCCCTGATTAATAAAGGGACTAAGCCGAAAAAAAATAATGAATGAAAAAAGAATGAGAGTATAGTTCCTAGCCATAAAGACCTACATCTTAGTAAACAATGTAACTACAGAAGAGTCCAGCTTTAAATATTGAAATGATCAAAACACTTTTTTGTATATTTTAAGAGACATGCCATTGGTCTAATCTAATTTAATGATTTATGCTAAACTAAGCTAAGCTGACAGTGCTCAATAATTCTACAACTCTGCGTGCTGTTTAACTCTAGGAGAGTTGTAAAATAAGCCTATTTCCACACACAAAAAGGTTTAGTCTTCCTTTAAAAGTCTTGGTTTATTTCATTTAGTCAATTGCAGGTGCTTGTGGATAGACAAGTTCCACGTGTACTGTTAGCACTTCTGTCTCAACATTCACTTGCATGCATTGTTATTGCTGCGTCCTTGGCTACATCTGGACAGTTTACATGAATGTCCGCAGACTCTCTTAATGATGAAAATCATTGGATAGCCAATGTGGATAGCCAAAGTATACTTTGGGCTTGAGGGAGTTATTTTGTGTTCTGTGTGAGCACAGAGGACAGTGGGGTGTCAAGAGATCTCAAGGATAACATACAGACAAGTAGTTCTTTCACATTTAAAAAAAAAGGATTCTCCCTATATTTTAATTTATTTTCTAGTTTTCTTGCAGTAGTTTAAGCATGCATAAAGGATCAAGAAAAGGATTTTACAAAAGTATGCTTTATTCAAAACATGGCACTACATTGCACACACCGTACTATTGTTTACAAAATATTTGCTATAATTGCATTTCTAATATAGATCTTATAAATTCTAATAAAAAACAGGAATGCAAAATGCTTTATTCTAACCTGCAAGTAAGAATGAAAAGAAAACTTAAGATCCACTGCCTTTGCATGCCTGTGAATGTGTTTTTCCAACCCACAAGTGCAGCTGTGCACGTCACCAAATCGGGGGTTGGGGCCACTTAATGGACTCCAAAATAAGGGAGAGAGAAAACAGACCATGCATACCCTTGCTGTTGAAGAATCTTGGACTAGAAGTTTTCAAACTTGGGTCCATGGAAATGGTCAATGAATATCTGAGAGGCAAGAGATACAATTCTGCAGGAGACACATTTCTCTTCTAAAATTTAAATAACAAACCACAATAAATAAAAACACAGTTGTATTAAACAAACAATGAAATACAAATTGGTAAAGTTATGATTATCAAATAATAAAACAGAAATAATGATCATCTATAGATTCAATGTAATCATAATGAAAAAGTGTTAAAATGTATATAATAAGAAAAACTAATCATTTTCTAAGCAATTTAGATACAATTCTTTTTTACATTTATTTTTTACATACATTTAGGCTTTGCACAACAAGCAAAACATTTGATGTGTGGCATTCAAAACATTTGTTTGAATAATCGTCTCTCTCTCTTTCTCTATCTCTATCTCACACACACATTTTAAGTGCTTTATTAGCATGACAAATAACTACATTTGTATTGCTAAAGCAGTGCAGTGTAGCTGGTTATAAACAAGACAGTGTAACAAGGGCAGTATTGCAAATAATATGAATACAAAATATAATACACAGAGAAAACACAGATAACAAAATTAGATAGATTAATAGTAATATAACAGATTATTGGTATCTCTCGACATTATATTACTTCAGAATTGTACATGGTGCCATAGGTCACACTTTTGTTAAGTTTAACTGAATTAAATTAACATAATACAATTTGGAGTTAATGCGTGTGCATCTACCTGTAATTTTTTTTATTCTCTTTTTCACTAAATGATTACATATTCATGGCTTATAAATTTGTTCAATACTATACAATACAATACAAAATGTGCTGATTAGCATGTCTCTACTAAATGCCCATGTAAATAAACATTAATAAAATAAAATAAAATTGGAAAAGGATCAAAAACATTAAGGATTAATAAAACAAACATGAGATCTAAGTTCAAGATCAAGTTAATATAAAAGTATGAAAATACTATTGATTATTATAACAGATCCAGAAGTAAATCGCAATTGTATAGTTATTATTCTATATATTTTGTGTAAATCACCCCATCCATACCCATACACTGAAATCAAGTGGGCAAAATCTATTGAAACCATGGGGTCATAGCGACATCTGGTGTCGTAATGGGGAATTTAAAATAATTGCCAAAAGGCGGAAGTGTACACACCATAGGTACACACACACACACACACACACACACACGCACGCACAAGCAGTTTTTGTAGAATGCAGAACTGAAATCAACCCTAGTTGAGGCAAAACTCATGGGTTTACTCTTTTAATGCAATTTTGGATTAAAAGAAATTTACGTTGACAAACACATGTATTGCCTAAAATAAGAAAGAGACTTTAATTATTTTAATTATATAATTATATATATATATAGATAGATAGATAGATAGATAGATAGATAGATAGATAGATAGATAGATATAATTTTGAATTATATAATTGTTTAAGCAGTTTCAGTATATCACACATTAGGTATCAAAATGTATGTAAAAAAAAAAGTAAACAAAAACTGAAGTTTGTTTACCAAAGAATCCGTTTTACTCCTCCCCTCATGAATATTAAATTTGTGTTGTGACGTTGCTCTGTAGGCTTCCTGTAGCGTCGGGCCAGTGTGTGACCAGTCACGTTACAAAATCAATATTCATGAGCCACAGGCTTCGCTCATTCGTCCACTGTCGAAGAGTTCACGGTCCTACTGGACGAATGACAGGGTACGTCATTAATATGCATAAGGCTCACGCAACTCATGTGACGTACTCTGAGCTGTCTGAAGTTGAAAACACTGCCCCATGTTATTGGTCCCCCTCTGCAACGTGCTTGCTGCACTTCTCATGCAAAAAATACATTATTTTTGTAGACATTTTTGACTTAAATTATTAAATACGATATTTTCTCGATTCTTCTATTTTTCCTCAAGGACTGTTTACACCACCAGCAACATTACTGTTACATCTTTAGTCACAAGCGAGCCTTCAATTTAAGGTAAGGCTAAGCTCCACGCATTTACGAATGAAATGTACATTAAGACGGTCAGATATTTCCTTCTGACCCGAGCACTGCTGTTTAATGGTTGTGTAAAACAAACCATTTTTGCTCGTTTGCTACTGACATGGTGACTACTTGTTTCCGTGATCTGCAGGCTTAGGAGGACGGTAAACAAGCGTACAATGGCGACTGAGATTGAAGCATGGACCACTGCCCCCCAAAACGATGGTACGAGCTTTAATTCTCTAATTGTCTTAACAATTGCCTATTTATGCATTCCGCTTGCATTTGGTTAATTAATCCACACGGTAGTGGCTCTTCAAGATGTCGTTTCTGCAGACGACACGGACTTGTGTTGCAGTCTTGTTCCACCATGTGCTCTGGCAGAAAGACTTGAATATCGCGTGTGTGCTATAAACCACAGTCAAAGTAAACGATGCATAGTTGTGTCAATGAAAATATTTTATTGGGTGCTATTGTTTGTTCATAAATCTTTAATGCAAACTTATTTTAGAAAATCGTTTTTTTTTTCAAAGGTGAATGTGATACAAACAAAACAGTCAAATATACGCGGTATAGCCATTAAATGAGAATTTACACCGATTTTACATTGATTCTCTTCAACTTGCCAAAGCACAGTTAAAGACCAACGGGCTTGCAAATAGGAAGCCAGTGTTTGTTCCTGGTATATTGACATATTAACACAGAAAAATTGAATGGCCAGTGACATAATTAAACGCACCCCTTTGCCAATCACTTCTCTTTGCATGTTTTCATGTATACGATATAACCATTGATCGTCTTTGTTGATGAAAATTTGTTACAATATTAAACACTACGCCCCCTTGTTGAGATACCCGGATGTTGTTTTTTTCTATGCCACGTGAGTTTAAATGTGTGTTTTGTATTTTACTTCAGGTAATGTTTTCGAGCTTTTCTTAAATTAAAATGGCGTAAATACAGTACACACAAGCCCAACACACAGCAGACACATGCATTTAATTACCAAAATAAATAAATAAAATATTACTGAAAACTATGAACACAATTGCCCTTGCAAACATAGAAATTAGATACATTTTACAAAAAAGTTTAATCAGATATGTATGTGCTTATTTGAACTGCCCTGGTTATTGCACAATGATCTCAAATAGAAAATGCATTTAAAGTGCACAAAAACGTGTCATGACTGTTTGCTGATCTGGCTAATCTAGTCATTGTATAGTTATGCTCGACAAGGTTTTTTGATTGCACACACAACTTGGCATCCATGAGTATTTCTAATCTGATGTCAAACTTATTTTTGTAGGCTTTGTAAAGCTTATTCATCCAACGTGTTTGTGCTGTCTATTTTTTTATTTGTTATTAATAAAAATTAACTTAAATAATACATTAATATTACATTTGATTTATTTTGTTGTTAAAAATACTTTAATTACCTGATTTAAAATTTAATGTTGTAAAAATGTACAACTGTGCAAGTCTTAAAATAATTATAACAAAAAAATTACATACCTTGTATTGTCATTTACCTCATTTGATATTTATTTAATACATTAAAAAAGATTTGTATTTCAATACGTCCCTTCTATTACACCTTTATGTACTGAAACAATAGCTAATTGTTGTTCTTTTACACAATTAAACATTTTGTTACTAGATCGAATGTTTGGTAAAGAGCAGCCTTGCATAATAAAGATACAGTTACTGATTGTGGTAGTTATATTTTCACATATAAATGATCAATCTTTTTTGTCTAGTGGTGATTTTGGTGAAAAATCTTTTGCAAAAGTAAAAAATTTAAATGTGCACTTTTTACACAAATAATACAAAGCCCAATGATTGTGTTAGTGAGGAAAAAAAACTTTGCATTCTCCTTTAATAATTTTTAATGTGAAAACATTGAAATGTTGCCTGTCATGAAAACATTTTAGCACACTGGTAGTGTATCACATGTCGTTACATTTTAGTTCAGAAGGAAAATTACCCTAGATGCTTATTGCTTTTCTAACTAACCTGATTTATGTGGTTTTATAAATTTTTTTAAACATGACTGGTATTTTACAGCATTCTCACTGACTGGACGAGCTTAAAGTGTTTAAAATGTGTCTTTGTTCAGCATGAAGCAAACTGATTGGACATCATGGACCCTAAATGGATAATTGCTTATATTTTTTTATCTCTCTGTTATTAATTCATATCATAAAGTGAAATACACATGCTAGACTGGCAAATTTGCACTACAAACTGTATGTGGTGTTGTAAAGTGGGTCTAATGTGCATTCCCACAAGTCAGAGGTGAATAAGCAATAGTTGACAAAAACAGATAAGACCTTTTCCTTTTATCATTAAAAATGCTCCTTATTGACAGTTAAACTGTTGCTTAAACACACCCACTACGCCTCCCTTTTACACATCACAAAAGGAAACGGCATTGGGTTGTTATTGAAAAACAATGTAGTTCAAAGTACTGATCGGCAAACAACAGCTTTTAGTGGACATACTGCAATTTAAACAGTAACACTGCTGATATGGCTCTGCTGCTCATTTTTGTGTTTCTGTTCATGGCACGTGTACAAATTTAAACACACTAGTAACTACAGTGTGGTTTCTTGTCTGACTGTAGCTAGTATTTAGGGCGAGAGTATTTATTACCATGAAGGCCACTCCTACTTTCTCCTGAAATGTGCCCCCCCCCACTCCACAGCAGACTGTACACTGCCATATGTAGTCAGGCTTGGCAATAGCACCAGCAAGGCCTCAAAATAAGCAACGTCAGCTATTCTGCCTCCTTGTGCTACTGCCCTCTGTATCTTTTGCCTGGCCTTTTGTGTTTTCCAGTGCAAGCTGTAAAAAGAGGAAACATTTCACACTGTAATGTCGTTGCAGTTTTAAGTCTGTCTCTTTATAAATCACCTATGCTGTTGGATGAGAATCTGCAACCTTGACATGAAAGTGGGCTTTTATATAAGAACAGTATTGCATCCCCAATAATATATATATATGTATATATATATATATATATATATATATATATATATATATATATTTTTTTTTTTTTTTTTTGAGACAAATGATACACCAGAAATCTCAAGAGCGAGGCTCTTAAAGCTGTAATACTTGGAAAGATTATTTTTTTCTCTTTCTACACCAAAAAAAACAACAACAGTAGCAACAGTAAAAATGTTACTGAAGTCACATGAAATGTTTTGACATTTTTTTTCTGTTGTCTTGGTGAAATCGACAACCAATAATAGAATAGTCTATTTCATTTGGTTGTACGTCACAGTATGGGGAAAACGGTTTTGCTGATTTGTTGCTGCTACTTATCGTTCATTTTTAAAATTCATTAATCTTACATCGATTGACCTATTTTAATAATAAAAAAAAACTCAGAAATATATTTTTTTTACTGTCTTGTTCTTCCAAGTAATTCCCGAATATTTGTATTTATCATAAATTTAAAGCTAGTCAGTGGACTGTAATTTAGCAATGGATTGTGCCACTGAAACACTTGTTCTGTGTGATTAGCACGTTAAAATTATCCAGAGTTAGCTCACCATCAAATGCTATTCTACATATATTACATTTAAAGACGTTTGGTCACAAAACTTGGGATTTTATTTTGCTGGTGTTGTCCAACTTGACATTATGCTTTGGCATTAAATTTCAATTAATAAGGTGTAGTATTTTTATGGCTTGACAAGACAAATTTGTCAGTCTGTTTAGGAATTAATTGTGTAAGTATTTGTGTGAGTACATTTATTTCTGAGTGATATTTGATATTTTGATATTTGATATTTTTAACTTTTTAATTTTTGATATAAGAAGCTGTGCATTTTCTGTTAATCAGTAATACTTCTCAAAGAAAGTACCGTTACTCATTCGCTTGAAGGGCTTGAATTAAAATGGTTATGTGTGTTTAGGGCTGGGAACTAAAACATTGTTTGTCAAGGTTTATCAGAATATGAGAACTGACCAGGTGTGCAGGAAAGACAAACATTTCTGTCAGTGCTATCATTAATATTCATATGTTTTTGTAAGTGTTGGTTTTATAAAGGTCATCATTTAATCTTTTTATATATTCTTATGGCAAATTATGCAATGAACAGCAATATTAACAATATTACATATTACACGGTGAAGTTTTAAATTAGAGGTTAGATTGGCACACGAGTAGAGTAACAAAGCATGCATGTAGATTACCTGTACTAACATACGTTTGCTATTGTGTCTAAGCACTTGTCTACTCTTTTCATGTTTGGCACAGGTGTATTCTCAGTTGAGCAACCGCGTGATGATGAGGATGGATCTTTTGGCAGTGAGGATCTAAATGAATTGGAGGTGAATGGGAACTGGACTCCTCAGGAAAAGGCCCTCCATGAGGCCAAACTTAAAGCTAAAGCAAAGCGTCGTCTGCGTAAATCATCCTCCCGGGATTCAACCAGGGAATCACTCTCTGACTCCGTTTCAGGAGAGCTTTCTGCTGATCCACATAGCCCCAAAGGCAAAAACGCTGTAAATGATAGGAAATCGCGGACCGGAAAAGGCAGAGGACTGCCCAAAAAAGGTGAAATTCTGTGAAATTCAGATTTTTTTTTTTCCGGGCGGGCGGTTATGGTAATAATGATCATTTATTATTGCAATACAATAGTTATTGTTTAAAGACATGCCTTTTTTCTCCTGTTTTAAAGTTTGACAATAAATAAACTACTCTTAATCTCAAGAGCATGACAAACACTTCTCTAACAGGTAAATAAAAGTAGCTACAAGCTTTATTAGAACCTATTATTTGTGACTTATTCAAACATTTGTATAACAAAATGTCATTTAAACGTAAAAAGAAAACATTTAAACCAAATGTTCATCACACTTTGCTACATTTTGTTCATGTTATGACTGATGTTTGGGATTTTTGTGATGGAAAGAAAATATTTGAAAGGTTAACTTAAGTTTCATATTCAAAATAACAAATCTTATCACTATTATGGGAAGACAGATGTTCTGTAAATTCATGTTTTAGTAAACTTCATCAGCAGAAAACAGCACAGACCAAATATTTGTTTGTCAAGTTAAAATAATAAAAACAACCTATATCATCAATCCAACACTAGCATATTCATTGCTGACATGTTTACTTATATTTTATCCACATTGTGTAAATGAAATAGAAACTGACGCAGTTAAATTGTGCCATCAGATACATTTGGTCAAAAACAAGTCAAACAAGTGAAATGCAGGATAATGCAGGATTCAGGATTGCAGGATTCAGCCATATTTTGTTTGTTTTAGTAACTTTGGTTATTTGTATAGTGTGGCAAAATTGTACATTAGTCACATTCATCATTTTTATGCAGTTACTTGTAGCAAAATCACAAAAGAAACTTTAGCAAAAGTAGTTTATTGCATGTGTAGTTTTTGGTTTAAAAATGACATTTCTCTAGTATAATTAAAGTATAATTCATATCATCCGTTCTTCTGAAAAGGTGGAGCAGGTGGTAAAGGTGTTTGGGGTGCAGCTGGTATGGTATATGAGTTGGAGGAACCTGACGCTAAGGACCCCAACTATGATGAATCTGCACAGGTAATCAAAAACATTACAGTTTTCTTTCAATAATGTTTTTAAATGAATGTTTAAATTCAGTGCCATTTGATACATTCAAAGTTGGGGTAACAGTTTAAATAAATTTTTCAACCAATGATAAATATGGAAAATGTGTCATTTAGTACTATCCAGTAGACTTGACAGAGTCGGGTAGGGCTAGGTGGTTCATCAAATGTGGTTTTCATGGCCATGTTGTCAGTAAAGCTGGTTTTAGTAAACGTCCAACACATGCTTTTAAATGGAGCAGCAATTACTACGTAGAGTCAAAGTTCACTGATAAGCTACACAAAATTAATTTAATCAGATGATAATGACACCAAGATAACCGCCCTGTGTTAATGATAGCTGTTGCTTCTCTGTAAACTATGGCTGTGTGTAGTAAATGCTGCTAGTGTTTACCACATATAATAGCAAGTTTTTACTTCACACTCACTTCATAACTTCAGTTGAGAGTTATAAACAAAAATAAAGCCTTTTGTACGATGATTCTGCAGTCATGTGTTCATTAGTCATGCTGAATCAATAGCTTCTTTTACACATACATGGAAAAGTACTGGTAAATTAGCATAGAGATGGCTATCTTTGAAACCAGGTCTAGGTGCATGCTTAAACTTATTTTTGAGTATATACTCTAATTAGTTTGAACTGATAGGTATCCCTTTTTGTTTAATTATGTACTATGTTTTCTAGTGTCAGACTCTTGTTTGTTTATTAGGGAGATACAATATATGCAACAGTAGTACCAGAGCTGGAGGAGAGAGAACTTGAGAAGACCATCAACCCCATTGTGCAGGAGTATTTTGAGCATGGAGACACCAAAGAGGTTGAGGTGAGTTATAGCTTACCATAAAGCCAGATACCAAATAACAGAACCTTTGTTTTAGTTTAATGTAGAAGAGAAAATCTTGGATGCAGTGTGTGCTAAACATTCCAGTGGCATTCGTTTTATACAATTGGAGAAGTTGTTCATAGCTACAGAGGCAGCTATTGAAATAAGCTGAAACATAAAATGTAAATTTTTAGTTAATAACTAATCATTAACAAACATGAGTGAGTGAGATTGCTGATGTACAAACATGCTTCCTCAAATGTAATTTACAGAATCTAGAAATCTGACCCTTAAAACATTGTTATGGACAAAGGAGGAGTTAAAAGTTGAGAATCCAATCTTCTCAGCACTGTAAAAAAATGCTGGGTTCTACACAAGTGATTTGTGTTAGGGCAACATGATGGATTTAATTTGAGCAAAGATTAAACAAAGCAATTAAGTTGTCCCAAAAAAAAACAACAACAACTCAAGAATAGTGTCGTTTCAGCTCATTTTAAATAAGTAGATTGAACAAACAACGAGTGTAATATACAAACAAATGAGTGTAATATACAAGATTATATTCTTTACAATTTTATCAATTATCAATTTTACAATTTTAATTCTTATCGTCTGAAATGCTATAGTAATTTAACATAATAGCCACATATTAGGATTTATGAATAAGAAAGGCATGTGTGTATTTGATGTATATGTTTTTAATTTATTTATTTAGGCTTGACTGTTGTACAAGTCTTAAGATGCTTTTCTGTGAATTAAGACCTTAAAAAAGTCCTAAATCAGAGCAGCAAGTCTTAAATTTGTATAATCATAGCAATAATTTTTTAGGAAGAATTTTTTAAAATTTATTTAAAAATTAAGCAAAAGCTCAAGTTTTGAAGTGAGAGTGATCACTGTGCTTGAGTGTCAACTTTGTAAATCAGTTTTGCAAGTATAAATATGTTGGATTAAATAAAACTTTGAGTGTCAAAAAGATCAATTATATAGATATACAATAGGTCTGTTAAGAAAGTAAAAGTGATTTCCACACTCAAGTGGTTGAACCTTAGTAAAAATTCTTTACACGTAAGTTAGACCATTTTGTTTGTATTTGTACTTGTAAATGTTACTAGAAATACAACTCTCAATGTGCTCCCTAGACACATTGTGGTTTTCACTTAGATTTGTTACTCTTAAATTTTCTTTAATATCTTTAAAAAAATCTTACATTTACCCCATAAAACCAACAGGGACCCTGTTTGTGGTAAATGTTTGAATCAATTGTCATTTCATTTAGTTACAGTAATTAAAATTAAATCTGTACATATATTAATATTTGCAAATATTTAAATTGTAGTTAAGGCTATCATATGCTTATTTTACGTTCATTCTGATTGAACCAATTTTTGTATTTTCTTTCTCAGAACAGTGCAATTTCACATATTAAGACTTATGTAGTCAGGAGTGACATTTAGTCATGAAAATAAAATATTTGAATTACTCCTTAAACTAGAAATTAGTAAATTCACATCACAGCAATTATCTGAACTGCAGGTTTTATTTGTTTTATTTATATGTTTATTTTTTTTTTTCATTTGTCTGGTAGATGCTGCTAAAAGAGCTGAACTTGGGCCACAACAGATATGAGTTCACCTCTCTGGCTGTGTCTCTGTCTCTGGAAGGCAAGGCCAGCCACAGAGAGCTCACATCACGTCTTCTCTCAGACCTCTCTGGTAAGGTGCTTTCTGAGAGAGACATGTCACATGCATTTGATAAAATGCTTAAGGAGCTGCCAGATCTCATCCTCGATACACCCGAGGCCCCACTGGTAAGCTGGAAATGTCAATCAAAAACCAAGTAAAAAAATACTGTAAAATTTATTTCGCGAAATGAATGTAAATGAACCTATTGCTTTTAGCTGGGAATCTTCTATACATTATTATTTATCATAATTCATGGTGTTTGCTATTTATTATTCAGTGGTTGGAATCACCAGTCCACATGATATGATATCATCACAATACATGTTTTCCAACTTCAAATTATGTCGCCAAAGGAAAACCCTTGCAACATCTGTTTTAACTAAATCAAAAGATTTCTCAGTTAGCTCACTTTTATTCATTTTTATTGCTGCAGTGACAAATAGGATAATACAGCAAACAAAATGACCAAATTTGTAATGAAACAATGCTGTATGCACCTTTCTGCAAAGTAGGTGACCACACTAAAAAAACTCAACACTGGCACCAGTGGACTGTATTAAAATTGATTATATTACTTAACTAAAGTGTAAAGTGGATACTGTATTGGTTTCTATTACTTAATCAATTGTTATGTGGTAGTCTCTCCTGGGCACAATAACCAGACCAGTAGCTGGATTTGAGATTTGTAGTGGAGCGATTATCTTAACCAGCTGTTGCACTATGCAAGAGCATGCAGTCTTTCTAATCGAAAGGAGTTTATGCAACTCTAAAAGTGTTTTTGTGTGTGTGTTGTTTTTAAAGAAACAAACAAACAAAAAGCAACTTTACAAGCATAAAAAACAACTTTTTAGACATCAGTTTCCAAACATTACAATTCTAGTAAAAAAAGTTACTAAAACAGATGCAAATAGCTATTATTATTAGCATAGTTTACACAAAAATGGAACATTTTGATTTACTCGCCCTTGTACTAAACCTTTTTTTGTTATACACTAAAGAAGATATTTTGTAAAATGTAGAAAACCTGTAACCATTAACTTCCATATTAAGAAATACAAATGCTATTGAAGTCAATGGTTAGATAAAGGATTGCTCCTCATTGCCTCTCACATTGCTAAGGTGTGTTTAAAACATTTTGGACCATTTCTGCTGAATTGCAATGTAATGGTGAATATAGAACTGGTTGTTTGTATAAGTATACTGTTTTTTACTCGGGAAACACAATGTCTGTAGATGTATTAATGTTTTGAAAATGTAAAGAGCAGACAATTGTCTTATAAATTGCCCTCTAGTCCAGTGACATTTAAATGGCATTTTCACAGTTCTTTAGATGAAAGCATAGCTACAAATTAATGATAATGAAAAGCTGTGCTATTCTAATGATGGACAAAATGTTTGTTAGAAACCCTAGAACTTGATTACATTTAGGTAAAATGATATTTGTGAAATCCATTCTCTGTACTCACTGATTTTTTACTTTTACTTAGATGCTTGGCCAATTTATTGCACGAGCCATTGCAGACCATGCATTACCCATGAGTTTTCTCGACTGTTACAAAGGCAAAGTGGATTGCGACCATGCCAGGTGAGTTTTAGCTTATTTATTTAGATGTTCGCTAGTTGTCCTCACTTAGTCCACAATAAATAAGCATTTTGATATGCAATCTTGAATACCAGATTTATTTAAAGTCATAGAGTCAACATATGAGTGGCATTTTGGGTCAGGGTGGTAAATTCTACCTGTCATCTGTCCAATGTGTGCTACAGTGGTAGGTTATTTTGCTTTACATGTCAGCAGCGGTGGTGGACCATTTTTTAGTGATTTGCCTGTTTTTTGCCTATGTGGTCTGATACATGATGATATTAGAAATGACATATCATGACAAATAGAAGAATTTTTTAAAAGAAATCTGCTGTTTTTCATAAATTAATCAATGAAAATGCTTATTGTAAGATGTAAAGTAAAAGAGTGCGTTTAACAGTCACTATAGCAGGTGGACAATTAAAACAATTTTCCATCCTACACATAGTCCTAAAATGAATATGCAGCTAGTTTTAAAATCCTTTGTAAAATCTGACAAAAAACTGCAAATTGATTATCTTTTGTGTTATTTGTCATGCCATTCCCCTGTTAATTTGTTGATGGTCTCATTGTTAGAGCTGCACTGGACAGAGCATCAGTTCTGCTCTCCATGAAGAGGGGAATCATGCGGCTTGATAATGTATGGGGAGTTGGTGGTGGCCAGAGGCCTGTCAAACATCTCATCAAAGAGGTAAAGTGTGGCCAGATTTGTGCTAAAAATGTCATATACTTAAGCAATTCTGATAACAATGTCAATCTTTGGGCACCTACCAAGCAATTTTTATTCAAAAGACGTCTGAAAGCATAAATTATTTGGTTAAAACAAGGCTAAATTTGAGCTGTCAGTAAAAAATCTAATAGACTTCTAACAAAAGTCCAAAAAGTCTATTAAAAATCCACTAGTCATCAAATAGATGATCAAAATCTTAAACACAATTGTTAGGCAATTTTTTTTTTTATTAGATTTTTACTTACGACCCAAATTTTGTGACGTGTGGTTTCTTCCCCTCCATGAGTTTCTCATTCCACAGTGGACTGAGAGGAGAGCAACAGACAACACAACAGCATTAGCCACATAAACACACTGGAGGGATAAATACGCTGAAATGTGTTCCAAAAACAAGAAGCTTCCAACAAAAATGTATGGAGTGGTCAATCTCAGCCAGTATCATTGTGTTGTGCAGCGTGACACATTCAAAACCCTGACTACTGCAGCGCAATGATGTTGGAGTGTTCAAAAACAATATTTCATCTCTCACACTTTTTGAACTTTTTGCCCTCAAACTAAGAAGGGAATAGAACTTCAATTGAAGCATAACGATCCTTTAGTGTTAGAGAACCTGAGAAATTTTGACTCATTTATTTTTTAAATTTGTTTTTTAAAGTAAGTTATTTTTAAAAACAATATTTTTCTTGGCAAAAGTTCAGTTTTTGTAAATTTTTCACATTTCTTGCACCTTATTTGCCCTTTACATATTGTTTACATTTAAGTTTGTAATTACTCATTTAGCAGATGCTGTTATTTCATTCTATATTTAATTGTTTCGAACGAATAAACCAAAAAGTGAGGAATTGTAAGAAAGTGGCATTACAAGTCCCAATTTGTATGCAACATTACACACATTTCTTCATCTTTCCATTTTGTAGAAAGAATTAACTATAATAGCTATGTTGCTGTTTGTTTTACAGATGAATCTTTTGCTAAAAGAGTATCTGGTGTCAGGTGAGCTCTCTGAGGCTGAACACTGTCTGCGAGATCTGGAGGTGCCACACTTTCATCATGAACTGGTCTATGAGGTATACAGTATAGTGAAATATTGAAAATAATCACATGAATGACATGTGAAGTGCAACTGGGCCAATTAGCCAGCACATTTTAAACACAAAATTCTATTTTATATAGCATATTATATCATTTAAGGATAAAGGCAACTGTCTGATTACACACAAAAATGTATGTTTTCTAATTTACTTTTCCTGTCCCTTTCCTGACTCCTCTGATTAAGTGTTTCTCTTTGTGGTTGATGTGCAGGCTGTGGTTATGGTACTAGAGTCTACAGGTGATGCAGCTTTACAGATGATGGTCAAACTCCTCAAGTCATTCTGGCAAAGTGGACTAATTACTTTGGACCAGATGAACAGGGTTTGTAGATTTTGATAATTTAGCGCACACTTTTATCCAAAGAGACTTACAAAGAAGGGCGGTAGAAGCAATCAAACCAATAAAATTGCATAAAATAGAAATAGAAAAGGGTTATAGTGTTAGTGAAGTCCTAACTCAAATTTGACTTGGATTTTTTTCTCTTGTTTAGTTGGTTATTACTGTTACTATTGCTAAAAAAAAGTGTACACAAACATTCTACTTCTAGTCTTCCAGTATAGTTAGTACTTAATGTTTAGGACTTTGATTATTATTATTGATTTATGTCATTAGCCATCAAATGTTTTATGTCAGTATGAATCACTTGTACAGTAGTTCTATATTGACATATAGTAATAAGCTGGCAATGAATGCAAGCTATGTTGTACATCTAAGACTAAGACGAGAGAGCATTAAGGATGGAAGGGCACAGAGAAACAAAGTGTAATGCATCCATGACCCATAACTTTTCTTTATTTGAATAAAGTTAAACATTTCCTAATTTCTTAAACTTTGTTGTGCTGTTCTAGTGTCACTAGAACTCACCAGCTCACCATTGGAATGAATGAGAGCATGTTGCTGTGTTTTTGGAACATGAACAGGGTGTTGGTTGTTTTGAGGATTAATGCATTTGTGTGTTATACACAGGGTTTCCAACGTGTTTACGATGAGCTGCCAGAGATCAACCTGGATGTGCCTCATGCACAATCTATTATGGAAGCCTTTGTGGACCTTTGTTACCAGGAATCAGTCATCACTAAGCAGCTGAGAGATTCCTGTCCAACCAGGTCAGATACTTGTGTCTGTTCACCAGTGTTCTGGTACATGTAATGACTGTTACACAGTCTTTGCTTTAGACTACACAATATTAATTTTGTCTTACAATAATTGCGTATGGGAATTCTGTGAACTGTTAAGGCCCCAGTATACTTCAAATAAAATTGTTCGCAAGAAGTACCACAGTGGTGCGTCACGTTGTGACACTGCACATTGTTTTCTATGTGACAAGGTGGGCTTCTTGTCTTTAAAATCTCTCAGTGAGCAATCTGCACCAGCTCAGCTATTGGACCCTTCAATGTATTCATGTAGCTAGTATCATTGTTATGGATGTTGTTCTCCTGTCTAACCTACGTAGAATGAGAAACTAATTGGGGAAGAAATTGCATGTTTCAATATACCCAATGAGAGATTTATCTATTTATTTATTTCTTATATTTTTGTGAAGGAATTACTATATAATCCACGGGAGTGCACATGCATTTAATATGTTTACAGCTAATGAATGGGTGACTTGATTCAGTGAGGGAGATACAGATAAATTCTTAAATATCAAAAAAAAATTTTAGTTGAATTAAAATAATTACAAATGAAAATAAATCAGTTATGTCTTACGCCACAGAATAAAGAAAGATGAATACAGTCACATATAAAATCTATGCTTGATGTAAAACTAAAGAAAATTTTAAAACTAGACTCTTGCCACATGAAAGTGTAAAGCCTGTACAAATAACCTACATCGAATATGGAAAGTTATAGTGTATCATTTAACAAACCAATTCATTTATTTTAAATTTGCAGATAATTGGTGACTTAATATTAATTAGATCAGTGGTTCCCAACCTGGGGTCCGCGCCCCCCTAAGGGGGGCGCCAGAGTTCACAGGGGAGGCGCGGGAGAGGATAAGTATTGAGGTAGAAAAAGGCATAAAAATGGTCCACTATTATAAAGGGCTTTGCAATTAATCGAAAATCCGATTTAGATTTCGCTTTCAAACGATTATAAAAAAGCATTAATCGAGATAATTTATTATTGCATCATATTTCGCCACAGTTGTACACGTGTTGCTCTTAAAAGCGCGAAAGAGCTTATGTGTGTGTGCAGCACGATCACGCAGTCAGAAGCATGCGCAGATCAGCATTCACTCTCATTCGCACACTGAGACGAGCAGAAGAGCGCAGACATCTAAAGTCATCTTAACGTGAACGCTTTAATGGTCAAATAGGTGTCAAAACGCGGTGTTTAGTGATTATTTACATTAACCCTCATTTGTGTAATAAACAAACGAGTTGAGGATCAAAAGACGTGAAAGAGAAACCATTAAAGATACAGCGCGCTATAATCCTTCTGCTGCCTGTTTTTATCATTATTAAACAAACACAACGAGAAAACCCTCGCTGCTCTTGACTGAAGGACTGCTGTAGCTAAAATGTTTTTCCTACAGTGAAGATGCTTAAAGCACAGTTTGTTTTATATTTTTATTCTATTGTATTTATTTCTCTTTCCTTTGCAGGGTGGAAAATAACTGTGTGTATACACTTGAAGTCAGAATTATTAGCCCTCCTGAATATTAGCAACCCTTTTCCTGCCCAATTTCTGTTTAATGGAAAGAAGTTTTTTTTAAACTTATTTCTGAACATAATAGTTTTGATATCTCATGTCTAATTACTGATTTCTTTTATCTTTGCTATGATGACAGCACATAATATTTTACTAGATATTTTTTCAAAATACAACCATTCAAATTAAAGTGTAATTCAAAGGCTTAATTAGGGTAATTAGGCAAGTCATTGTATAACAGTAGTTTCTTCTGCAGACAATCAAAAATATATATTGCTTAAGGGGGCTAATAATATTGACCTTAAAATAGGTTTAAAAATATTTAAACCTGCTTTTATTCTAGCTAAAATAAAACAAATAAGCCTAGAAGAAAAAAAAATATTAGAGAAAATACTGTTAAATTCCTTGTTCTGTTAAACATAATTTGGGAAATATTTATAAAAAAAAAATTCTCAGGAGCACTAATAATTTTGACTTTAACTGATAATCGTTTTGAATAATTGTGATTACAATTATGACCAAAGTAATTGTGATTATGATTTTTCCCAAAATCAGCCCTACTATTATATATGTATTTTTAAGTACCAAAAAAATAAAATAAAATCAACACACATGCTTAAAATTCCAACATAATAGTAAAAATAATTAAAATAAATAACTTTAAATTATTTTTTACATTTTGCTCACTTGCGCAATGTGCTTGTCCAACTTCTCGTAAAGGCAAAATCAAAACAAAAATGGCAGAGAAACGTCAATGCAATGATTCTTCAGAGGCGAAGAAAAGCCAAGAAAAGATAAGACAAAGCCTATCTAAATACACATAAACACACACATACAGTAAATATATATATATATATATATATATATATATATATATATATATATATATATATATATATACATATATATACGGCACATATATGTGTGTGCGTGCGTGTGTATTTATATGGTGGGGGGGCTCCAATGTTTGTATTTGTTCATGGGGGGGGCCCCAGAGAAAAAGGTTGGGAACAACTGAATTAGATGATGTCATTGCACTGCTATCTTGCTGCCAGCCAATTGCTGCATTGATGATCATGAACTTGAGGATCTTTTCACAATAAACACTAGCACAATCAGATCAATTCTTCCTGATGTTTTACTTAGGCAAGTGTTTGCAAATTGCCAGATCAGAACTCATGATTAAAAAAAGATTCAGGATCTGCCAAATCTTCTTAGATTGTTTAAGCGATGTATCAAGGAAAGACAAAAGGTTCTGATGCTCATTGTCATTTATGGATCACCACAAACACCTATCATCAAACACATTGGTTAGTCTGATCCAGTAATAGTAGATATTCTCCTCCTGCTTACTCTTGCGTTGTAACTGATGTATTATTATGTCCAACAGGGGGCGCAAGCGCTTTGTTAGTGAGGGTGATGGAGGAATTGTGAAAAGTTAGAAGATTCCGAAGAGCTCCAGCAGGATCTTGATGCTGAACAAGTTGGGATCTCCTGCACCTCCCTGGAAATCTTTCCTCAATGTCTTCATTGCTCATCCTCCAAGTTCACACAGAAATATTCAGCCTCAGAAATGAGATTGTCTTGATGAAGAGTGACAACTGAGAAATCTTCTCTCCTCTATTATGGGCTTGCCTTAGTTGTTTTTTGAGTTTATGTGCATTTATACAGTATGCAACATAAATGGAAAAGAAGTGAGGAAATCAGCAGCTTCAGAGGGCCGTGAAATACAGTTTGGGTTGAGGGATTAATTTTGCTTTATCTTTTTCAGCTTAAGTTGTTTTTTGTTGTGTTCTCTTGTTAGTGATGGCAGTGGTCGCTCATTCTTTTTTTGGCAGTGGACCTAATAAGGTATTAAATGAGTCAGGCTATTCAAATCAAGTACTTAATCAAACTGTTGGGCCAAAATGTAATGTTTTATGAAGCGATTGGGGTCACTTCTATTGGTTTGCATTTTATTTGCATGTTTATCTTCAAATGTTTCTTATAATTGCTTAAAGTAACCATACCCCCCACATTCACAGATTCAGAAGCTTCCAGCAGAATACTGCATACTTTTTTTTTTTTTTTCAAAAGGATTATCAAGGCTCGTTGGTGATTTAGGCCAAATGCAAGTCAAACAGTTCTGATTATTGTTTCTGGCAGATTTTTACATCATTAAGTGTCTTTGTAGGTGTTAGTTAAAGGACAGAGGAGAGAGAGCATCATCACCTCTCGCTCAGGCTGATGTCTGTGACTGTTCCCATGTTCATTACTGTCTAAAGTTTTCTACCCTCTCTGTTTGATGGTGAAGTTTAGAACAATCGTTTATTTCAGTCCTGGTGTTTATTTGGAGAAAAGCAGTTTAATTATGTCAGTACAGCTGAGCCAACATTTTCTGAAAATATCTTTGCATATCACTTTTTAAGTGGTATATTTTTCAGAAAATTACCAACTCTCACAATCAATACTTGTGGTTTCAATAATGGCATAATGGGAGGAAATTACTAAATTTAACCAAAAGTACTTTTGTACAAGCAATCTTTTTTGTATCATTTTGTTCATGGGTCACTTTTTCAAATACATTATTTTTGTCAAACAGCAGTTCCAGAGTTCCAGCATTGAATACATTTTGACACTAATAATTTCAATAAAAATTCATAATGCTCGCATCAGTGTTTCTTTGTTTTAACTAATGCACTGATTACATCTTTGGTTTTTCAAATGTTTCTAGTAAAAATTGATATTAAGATTAATAAATGCGTGTTCACAGTTGATTTTAACAAATGTTGTTAAATTATTTTAGTTAACAAACCTTATTGTAGGGAACTTTAGCATGTTGGCCGGTTTAAACTGGTTGACCAGCCTGGTTTTAGGAGGGGTTTTGGCCATTTTCAGGCTGGTTTCCAGGCATTTCTAGCCTGGTCTTAGTGGGTCAGGCTGGAAAATGACCAGCTAAAACCAACTTGACCAGCCTGGTTTAAGCTGGGCATAGCTGGTTTTGGCTGGGCTCCCAAGACGTCTTGCTTGGCTTGTTTCTAAAACCAGGCTGGTTGACCAACTAAAACCAGCCAACCATCATAGGCTGGTCTAAGCTGGATTCTTCAGCAGGGTAATTATATAAAATATCAGTAAATCCTAATTTTAAGAAGACATTAGGTTTTCAATGCAAATTTAGAAATCAAGAGATTTCAAGAGAAGCAAAGTTTCACACTCCAGACCAGTTGGTGGCACTGCTACAAAGTAATAGTCAAAAATCGACACAAGAATGAGAGCGTTGTGTTTACTGGACGTAAGTGTGTGTTCATTACCTTGGGTTTACTGGACGTAAGTGTGTGTTCATTACCTTGGGTTTAATTTGGACGTGTTTATCTTTTCTTTGATATAATTGTTGTAACTATATAGATTTAAGGCTGTATTAATAATTGTATCAGCGTAAAGTGGGATGCATCATATCTCGATTACAGTAACACCATAATCCTAGACATTTACTATCCTAATTGACTAGAAATTCATTTAGCCGAAAACCAGAATTTCATAGTTACAACGTTAACTGTGTAAGAGCTGTTGACATTTTTTTTGACAAAATGATCAGACTCATTAATAGTTCGACTAAACATTTATTACGCAACTACAAACATAAGCTTTGATGGCAGTTATCATTACATTACAGAAACAAATGTTAGGATACACGTTCAAGACACAATTGACAGAATCTAAGTAACGTAAAAAGACTGCCCTGTAAATTAATGGATGGTTACTTTTTAACTGATATGAAAATGACCTCTTTTTGTCTCCTCTTGATTTTAGTATCTTGGGCATGAGCTGCAGTCGTAGGATTTTTCATTTGTCTATTTAATAGCAAAGTGTTAAAGATGAACAACCCAGTCTACTTCACCAGAGCCAAACAAGAGGAGACGCTCTGGATAGAAAAAAAGAAAGAAGACAAGCAAACAATTTCTGGGGTTGAGGCCAGAGACTTTTACCAAAGCCTCTTACAAGAGAGAGATAGAGAAAGGCCAAGAGATGGAGAAGCAGCAGCAAGTAGAAGAGCAAAAAGACGAACAGGTAGAATTGTCAAATTACTATCTGATATTTGATTATGCACTGATGTATTTTAATTTAGTGTCTTTTAAAATTTTCTTAGTCACAACAACTTAAATTAACTGGATTTTTTGTATGACACAGTATTTCATTTTGCCACAAGTGTGTGCATTCGCAACTGATGACGCTGTGACTGAGTGTGGAAACAGTTTTTGTCTTTATTACATTCTACAGGACTTCTGTGGAAATCATGTGAGAGAAAGTATTCAAAGGTCAAAAACGTGAAAAGCAGCAGCCGGTTAGAACACGAGGGGCCCTTCCTGGGGCACATAAACAGCATGCAAAATGCTTGTGGGCAATAGAAAACAGTTTTAATACACTGCCTTAGACCACTAAAAAAAGTTTGTTGTCCAAAACATTAAGGGCTTAAGAGTAAAAGCCGTTGAAGTAAAATGACTTGGCACAAACGAAGTTAACTTTTATTATTCCAGAGTCGACTGCTTCTGGTTCTACTGGTCATGATCATGTGGGTATAAAAAACATTGCTGTTTTTTCAAATTAAAATTTTTATGTTTTTTTTTTTTTCTTAAAAACATTTTAAGATTCTGTTCTAAAGCTGCATTGTGCAGTGTAATAAAACACACACCATATTAAAACATCTTTGGTGCTTGGTGAAACCAAACTGGAAACTAAGGGTGTGTGAAACCATTAGCATGGCCACACAGGACATGTTCTGTGTCACTAGTTAAAAATGCTTATTTCTCTGGACTTTAACATACTTCTAAATGTTAGGGATATTGTTAGTACATAAGTCTGGAAAATTAATACATAACATTGTTCTAGTGGTTTTTGTATATATTTAAGAAAAAATCTTACATGTTGTGTCTTTTACATCAATGTGTAAATTGGTTAAACAAAAATCTAATTTTCAACTGCTACAGCATATTGTTACATTTATTCAATTGATAATGGTCAACTCAAATAAAAGAATCAGAAAAACTAAAAAAAATACCCTGTCCTCTGAGAGTAGATCACTCAGAATTGCAGTGTTTATAAAAAATTGCCTGGTGTGTATAGAGAGGAACAGCGAAAAAACATACGCTTTTCAAATGTATCATGATTAATAAAAATTTTACATCAAAACAAATTTGACAGAACATGCAAAATCTATATAAAATTGTAGTTTGTGTAGTACATATACAATTAGCCCCCCTGTTTATTGTTTTCACAGTTTCTGTTAAACCGAAAGAAGATTTTTTCAACACGTCTAAACATAATAGTTTTTATAACTCATCTCTAATAACTGTTTTTTTATATTTGCCATAATGACAGTAAATAATATTTTACTAGACATTTTCAAGACAGCTTAAACTGACATTTAAAGACTTAGCTAGGTTAATTATCTTAGGTTACAGGTTAGGGTAAATAGGCAAGTTATTGTATAACGATGGTTTGTTCTGTAGACTATCAAAAAAATTTGCTTAAAGGGGCTAATAAGTTTGTCCTTAAAATGATTATTTATTTCTTTATTTTTATTAAAACTGCTTTTATTCTAGCTAAAATAAAACAAATAAGACATCCTCTGAAAAGAAAAAAAACATCATCAGACATACTGTGAAAATTTCCTTGCTCTGTTAAACATCATTTGGGAAATATTTAAAAAAGAAAAATAAATTTAAAGGGGGCTAATAATTCTGACTTCAACTGTAAGTGTAGATTAACAATTGGTGTTTTTCCTCTTTGATACATTTAATCTCTGTCATTTATTTTCCTTAAAGTTTAGTTTAAAAAAATGACGTTTAAAACACTCATTGTTATACAGATTTATCATGATCTTCCAATATCTTTTGACACAAGAACCCAATCGAAGAAGAAGAGAAGCAAGAAGGCTAGAAGCTTCCACTGTGCAGCCAGTTTGCACGGAGCGTGATGGACACAAACTCCTGCAGTGCGCCCAGGAAGGCAACATTCGGGCCCTGAAAGACCTCTTACGACGTGGCTGTGATGTCAACTTCCGGGATGATTTTTTCTGGACAGGTGTGATGTGTGCGAGTCAGGCAGGACAAACAGAAGCCGTTCGGCTGCTCCTGGAGCATGGGGCCGCTTGGGTTGGAGTCGTGGACAAACAGGTACATAACATTTCCTCCTGAAATCTTTATGCCTCTTTCAATTTGTAGTTGTGAATAAAAAAATATTGTACTTTTTCAGTTGACTTTGCATATTTGGTTACAAATTGCACCTATCTGAAATATAAGATCAAATAAAAGATGTGGTGTGAAAGATATGTAATAGATATCATTTTTGCCAATATTAAATAAATCTGAAAAATTATAAAAATAAAAAGGCAGATTAACAATCTTATTATAGTACATTGAATTGAAAAATGAAACTAAATTATTTGATTTCATTAAAATGTCACTGTTACAATGTATTATCTCTTTAAAATTGAAATGGTGATTTCGTATTCTATTTTCATGACAATCTAGAGGCAAATCTGCTAAAATTATATCTGATTAGTTTGAAATGAATGCTTTTTTCAGTTGTACATTTAGGTATGATGTGTTTTCACTGTGAAATTTCATTTAAATGAAATTTTTGCCACATAATTTGCATACAGAAAACACCTTTTCTGATCTGAATTTGTGTTTATTATTTTTATTAATAATAGTTCTATGAGAGAAGTTTGATTAATTGTAAGTAAAGAAATGATTCACACATCTGAGAGCTTTATAATATTGTCAGTACTTTGATGGCCCTTTTTTTCATCAAGAATTATAACCATTGCAATAACTCATTCATTAATTTTCTTTCGGCTTAGTCTCTGATTTATCCTGGGTCACCACACTGGAATGAATCAACCGTTGCAAAAACTGTAAAATATTATAGGGTTGTAATAATCACTCCAATTCTGGGACAGCAAGAAAATACACACTGCAGCTATAATAAGAGCACATAAGATATCATAGAGATACTAATGAACTGTTAATGTAAAATATACACTGAAAAAAGTGTTGCATGCAGAACTGTTGCAAACAATTTATTTGTGTTGAATTTAAACAAACAAATTAAATTGAATAATGTATAACTTAATTTGTTTGTTTAAATTCAACACAATTAAATTGTTTACAACCACTTAACGTAAAAAAATTTAGTAAATCTAAGGAATTATCTTTGAATAATTTTTTTCAGTGTAGATTATCACAGTCATTTAGAGATTAAAGAGCACAAGCATTTAAAGCAAGAGATGACGACTCAACGTGTGCTTAAAATAAACAAATCCATATCGTTGGTTGGTGTGAGCATACTGTTGCCAACTTCTTTCACTGAAAAGAAGCTAAGAAAGCCCGCTTAAAAAGTTATTATGCACTTGCTAGCACATTCATGATGTATTCACATTCAGCCTAGAGCTAGCCCTCTAAATTAGTTTGCTTCACTCTTATTCTCTGTGCTAACATACTATATTGTAATGCGCCCAGATTACCAGTCTTTTTCATTTATTGTTTTCTTTTTTTCACACAAGATGAATTTGAAATGGCTACTAAAGTCACTGTCAAGTCACTATACTGGCAAAACTGGTGGGCATTATATTGTTACATTTTCAAATTACATTCTTTGTGTGGAAGAATGTTTATTCATTCATTCATTCATTTATTTATTTCTTTTCGGCTAAGTCCCTTTATTAATCCAGGATTGCCACACCGGAATGAACCGCCAACTTATCTAGCACATGTTTTACGCAGCAGATGCCCTTTCAGCTGCAGCCCATCTCTGGGAAACATCCCTATACGCTCATTCACACTCATACACTACGGACAATTTAGCCTACCCAATTCACCTGTACCGCATGTCTTTGGACTGTGGGGGGTAACCTGAGCACCCAGAGGAAACCCATGCGAATGCGGGGAGAACATGCAAACTCCACACAGAAATGCCAGCTGACCCAGCTGAGACTTGAACCAGACCTTCTTGCTGTAATGCGACAGCACTACCTGCTGTGCCATTGCGTCACCTGATGGGCCTTTTGTTTTATAAATATTTTTTTTTACAAATTTAGATCTTTCAATTTCTATTTAGTTTAGTATTTTATGATTATTTAAGTAACTATTTAAAGTTTTATATATTTTCCCTCAGTGTTACAATTTAAGTTTAGCCTTTTGTATTGTTTTTAGATTTTATTTTTCTAAATTAAAATATTTGAGCCTTTTTTTTTTTGTTTGTTTTTTGTTTGCGTGAGTTTTATAGGTAATGTCTCCAAAATTACTCACCCTAATTCAGTCCTCACAATTTTAAGATATTTTAAGAAACACAAATTAAGATATTTTAGATGAAATCCAAGAGCCCTTTGACTATCCATTGAGAGTAACAGTTCCAAGACATTCAGAGGCCCAAAAAAGAACCAGAAATATGGTCAACACATTTCATGTGACTTCAGTGGTTCGTCTGTTGTTGTTTTTTATTAATGTTTATGCATTTCAGCTTTGTTTCAGATAAGTTCGTCAATGATATTTACCCTGTTTGAGCTTTGAATGGACCTAAAACATGAACATGTAACACAAGGGCAGTGAAGCATTTAGACAATTTATGCAAATTACAATGTCTCAAACTAAACTAATTAAGCCAACCGATACAATCTTTAATGGTAAATGAAAAAATGCTAACTTTGTGGAGACTTTTGACAGTATCTTGATATTCCTGACAATGCAGTGTTTATGTACGAGATTTCAAAGAAATTCCTAAACATTATGCGTTTTTTTCTTGTATTGTCTCATTTCCTCTCTTTTTTTGAGTCTTCCTGTTTTCTTTTCTACTCTCTCTCTCTCTCTCTCTCTCTCTCTCTCACTCTCACGCTCTCTCTCTTTCTCTCTCACAGGGCAGAGATGCTCGAGATCTGGCGCTGCAGGCCGGTCATCAGGATGTAGTGAGGGAGTTGGAGCAATTTAATGTGCCAGAGACCACAAACACATCTATAACAAACAATGCAGACAGGTTAGATGATTTAGTGTGCAGATGTCCAAACATTGTTCATTTTTAAATAATACTTTAATTTTGATTTTGACTGTGATTGTTTTTTCTTTTATGATGAGCTGATATAAAAAATGGTTTTGAGAGGACAAACGTATAATTGCAGTAAATGCTGGTTATGAAAAATGTAAAAAAAAAAAAAAGCAAGAGTGTCATTTTCTTAAACATCAGTGTGTGAGATTAATAACAACACACACACTGATATTAATGAAAATAATTGTATATAACGACTAGTTAGTATTATTTGATTTAGATCTTACAAAAAAAAACTCATAAAATAGGCACACATAGCTCTAAAAATCTAACCTAAACTCTAAAAGTTCTCATCACAAGTGATATTTTATAGATTAGATGGTCTTTATCAGACCTAATGTGTATGTTTCTTTTTTTCAGACACCAGTCATCATATATATATAGTTTTATTTTTTATTTTTTGACCAAAGTGTTTTGAATAACCCTGGTCTTAAAGTCCAATCGGAGTGTCAAAATTCATGGTGGCCGCCCTGCCAACAACACTGTGAGTTTACGCTGCTGCTGATGAGAGCATCATTGGTTCTGGCCTCCCTACCTTTATAATTCTGAAGATTGGAATGTTTTCATATTTAATAATGAAATAAACCAATTAAAGCTGTTTGTATAATGAGGCTTTTGTGTTAAGGGTTAAGCCCTACTGTAATTACTACATGTTGTTTATAGGAGACATTTACTAGCCTTGGACTTCACATTAACATTATTTGTGGGCATCCTGCATTACAAACTTGAAAACCTGCCATAGTAATAATAATTAACACCCTGTGCCAGTTAGCTTGGGAACTATTGTGGTCAGAACCAGTGTTTATTGCACTGCATTCTCTGGAATCCTCTCAATAGGTGGATTATTACATTCTCAATGGTCGCTGCTGAACTGTGTCATAGCTCAAGTTTACCTGATTTCAACTCTCCTTGATGACCATATTGTCCAAGACCCACTACGTCACCGGAGCTCACCATCAGCTTCCATATAAAAGGAAGATTAAAAATAAAAAACATCTACTTTTATGCTGTCACTGGTGCAAATGCACAATAAGTTTAAAATCTAAATTTTAGGCCTTAAATGGACAGTTCACCCAAAATGAACATTTTCTAATTCTATCCTTTACACACCATCCACTCAATCCAAACATGTTCTTTCTTTGTTGTATGCATGAAAAGATTTTCATGAAAAATGTTGGAAACTGGTTAATTTGCATAGTATTTTTCCCACTATACACTGGCTACCTGTTACTAACATTCTTCAAAATATCTTTTATTTTGTTCTGATAGAGAAAAATACCTGAGTTTGAGTAAAAGATTACCAATTAAATCATTGCCAATTTTAACCATAAATTTACTAATTAGTTTATCCTTTGCAAGTGCTTTTAAGGCCCGTGACTGTGTGAGCATTTCAAGCCACTTTAAAGAATATAGGCACAAGAAATAGTTTGTAACTTTTGATAGTTAAATGTATGTGCATATACCATGAAGATTCACTATAAAGTGTTCATTCATTCTGTCATTCATTTTCTTGTCGGCTTAATCCCTTTATTTATCTGTGGTCGCCACAGCGGAATGGACCGCCAACTTATCCAGCAAGTTTTTACGCAGCGGATGCCTTTCCAGCCGCAACCCATCTCTGGGAAACATCCACACACACATATTCACACACACACTCATTAACTACGGACAATTTAGCCTACCCAATTCACCTGTACCGCATGTCTTTGGACTGTGGGGGAAACCGGAGCACACAGAGAAATCCCACGCGAACACAGGGAGAACATGCAAACTCCACAAAGAAACGCCAACTGAGCCGAGGTTCGACTCAGCGATCTTCTTGCTGTGAGGCGACAGCACTACCTACTGCGCCACTACTTCGCCCCCTTTAAAGTGTTAATTTACATTTAATTATTCAATTTATGCCTGAATATTGCTAGACTCCCAGAAAACCATTTTTATATTTGCTCTATTGTATTTATCAACGTTTGTGGTTGGTTTATTATATTTGATGCAGATGAACTGCCCTACAAAATGAATTCCAATTTCTCTCTCTCTCTCTCTCTCTCTCTCTCTCTCTCTCTCTCTCTATATATATATATATATATATATATATATATATATATATTTTTTTTTTTTTTTTAAATAGATCCAGTTGTTTAATCTAGAGAAAATATTCTCAGTATCGCATTGTTGCAGAAAAACAAAATATTGCAATGTCTAGTTTTTCAATATCATGTAGCGCTGCTATAAAACTTATTGAAATGATCCCATAGCATGTTTTTGAAGTTCGTTCTTTTATCAATTCAAATCCAATGAGCTGTTTTTCGACTCCAAATAAGACCAACATCATGAATAAGTTTTATATAAATGTGTTCATTATGGTCTTTAAAATGTGTTATTAAGCCTTACACTTGGCTTGATGAACCCTGCAGAAACCTATTTGACACACACATCTGTTTCACTAATTTACTCTTAAGTATGTCAGTTGTCAAATATGTCACTTTTTATCTGATTATATTTTCACATACAGTTGAAGTCAGAGTTATTAGCCCCCATTTGAATTTCTTTTTAAATATTTCCTAAATGAACTTTAACAGCAAGGAATTTTTCACAGTATGTCTGATAATATTTTGTCTTCTGGAGTAAGTCTTATTAGTTTTATTTTGTCTAAAATAAAAGCAGCTTTTAATTTTTTAAAAACCATTTTATGGTCAAAATTATTAGCCCCCTTAAGCGATATTTTTTTCAGTAGTCTACAAACCATCATTATACAATAACTTGCCTAACCTGCCTAGTTAACCTAATTTACTTAGTTAAGCCTTTAAACGTCACTTCAAGTGACTAATATTATGTACTGTCATCATGTCAAACTATAAACAGGGGGGCTAATAATTCACGGGGGCTAATAATTCTGACTTCAACTGTATATACATTTGACAGAATGTTGTCAAACAAAAGAGAAACATGTTAAAAAAAATCATTATTTTAAGAATTCCTATCTGTGTCTGTTTCCACAGTGTTACTTCTCAGTGGTGTAATGTGTGTGCTGTACATTACACAGACAGCACTGAAACCCACAACAGATCCACACTGCATCAATTCAGTGAACTTCATCCTCCAGCCACCCCTCAATACTGCCTGCCCTCATCCAGCACCAGCTATAAAATGATGCTCCGCTTGGGGTGGGACCCTTCCTCTGGACTTGGACCTGGCCACTCTGGCCGCAAAAACCCAGTAAGCACGATACTAAAGAGAGATCAGGCGGGTCTGGGATATGGGACTGCCCCGCAACCCAAAGTCACTCACTTCCAGCCCAAAGATCCTCAGGCAGTGCGGCACATATTTAAAGAGAAAAGACTGAGACAGGAGAGAGGGTCCACACTCAGTGCTAAAGAACTTAAGAAGAAAGAAGACAGAGACAAGAGATGGGAGATAGACTACCGTTCCTCGTTTAACTTTGACTTTTGACCTACCATGCTCTTTAACAATATTTCATACATTTTTTAAAGATAATTACGTTGTCAGTTTAATGAAATAGTCTTCAGTTGTCTGGTGCTGCCTGACAGTAAGAAATGTTTTTCAGCCATTAAATACAATAGGGTCTCTAGCTGAAACACTAAAGTGCCTGATTCTTCACTTCAAAAATGACATGTCTAACTTACAGTGCATCCAGGAAGTATTCATAGCCCTTCACTTTTTTCCACATTTTTTATGATACAGCTTTATTTCAAAATGGATTCAATTAATTTATTTCCTCAAAATTCTACACACAATACCCCACAATGACAATGTGAAAAAAAGATTTTTTGAAATGGTTGCAAATTTATTAAAAATATAAAACTTGAAAAATCATGTATACATGAGTATACATAGCCTTTGCTCAATACTTTGTTGATGCACCTTTGGCAGAGATTACTGCCTCAAGTCTTTTTGAACATGATGCTACAAGCTTGGCAAACTTGGCCGTTGGGAAGTTTTGCCCAAATCTCTTTGCAGTACCTCTCAAGCTCGCTTCGCATCCAACCTGATGTATACGGTGTACAGCCATTTTCAGATCTTTCCAGAGATCATATGCTGCCATTCACTGTAGGCATGGTATTAACCTGGTGACGAGTTGTGCCTGGTTTTCTCCAAATGTAATGCCTAGCATTCACTTTAAAGAGTTGAATTTTAGTCTCTTCATTCAAGAGAATTTAGTTTCTTATGGTCAGAGAGTCCCTCAGATGCCTTTTGGCAAATTCCAGGCAGGAAGTGGCTTTCATTTAGCCACTCTACCACAGGCCTGATTGGTGGATTGCTACACAGATGGTTGTCCCTTTGCAAGGTTGTCCTCTCTCCACAGAAGAATGCTGAAGCTCAGACAGAGTGACCATCAGGATATTGATCACCTCCCTGACTAAGGCCTTCTAAGGACTTCTCCCTCCATCACACAGCTTAGATGGCCAGCCAGCTCTAGGAAGAGTCCTGGTGGTTCCAAACATCTTCCACTTACAGATGATGGAGGCCACTGTGCTTGTTGGAACTTTTAGAGCAACAGAAATTGTTCTATAACCTTCCCCAGGCTTGTGCCGAGACAGGATCGTCTCGAAGAGGTCTACAGACAATTTCTTTGTCTTCATGATTGGTTTGTGCTTTGACATGCACTGTCAACTCTGGGACCTTATATAGACAGGTGTATGCCTTTTCAAAATATGTCCAATCATCTGAATTTACCACAGGTGAACAATTAAGCTGCTAAATCTCTTTCCACTGACATCTCAAGAATGATCAGTGGAAACAGAATGTACCTGAGCTCAATTTAGAGCTTTACGGCAATACTTATGTGAATACTTTTGTACATGGGATTTTTCTGGTTTCGTGTTTTTAATAAATTTGCAACAATATATATATATATATATATATATATATATATATATATATATATATATATATATATATATATATATATATATTTTTTTTTTTTTTTTTTTTCGCATTGTCATTATGGGGTATTGTGTGTAGAATTTTTAGGAAATAATCCATTTTGGGAAAAGGCTGTAACAAAAAAAATGTCGAAAAAGTAAAGTGCTATGAATACCATCTGGATGCACTGTATGTGATGTATTTATGCTGTAGGGATATTTACAGTTTGAATCCAAAAATGAGCAGTCTGTCAGATGAAAAATAGCCGGAGTCAGAGATTTAATTAAAGAAAGTTTACTGAAGACAGTTTGCAGTTTCATCAGCAGAAGCCAGATTCAACACTCACAAGGAGTTCGCAGGCCGCTCTGCTTACAATCACAAAACATCAACTATTATACTCTCACATAACGTCATAAACGGCATCATTTATATAGGTGGAAGAAAATTTCCACATGGGTGCGTGCATACAATTCTAAACGATATCTCAATATCTGTTCAAAGCTGACCCCAGACCTGTAAATGAATCCACAATTGAATAGAACACACACAACCTCAAAGTACAATCTGTTTCTAACTCAAGGCTGATTGTACTCTCAGCTGTGTTTATTAAAACTGGTATAATCCACAACCAAACTGGCAGCTTACATACAAAGGTATTAGCTTTAAAAGATTTAACTCTTAAAATGGCAAATATCACTTTAGAGATAATTAACAAGTAGC